CCTTTATGTGTTTAATATTTAAAAATTTAGCATGTTTAGTATGTTTTCCTTTTTATTCTAATTAACTATGTTCAATCTATTCAAAATATATCCTAGAAACTGTATTAATTTAACAAGTTGTATAATGAAATTGTAAAAACGATGTTATATGATACACCTGGAAAATTGTGTAAAGATATAATCTAATTATTAAACTTGTTCATAGGAATGGTTAATTGAGGCGTTTTAAATTTGATTTAAATGTTATTAAACCTGTTTATATAGCTTTAAATATAATTTTGATTCCGGCCCCTTTGGTTATAGTGTTCATGTTCCGTCATTTATAAACTTTTTAATTTATTATTGTCGGTCTCAAGCCCGGATAAAGGAGAAGGATTATAACATTAACTATACTAAATATTAATAATATTAACTATACTAAATATCAAAGGGCCCCAAATTTTTGGGTCACTTTGAGCCCCCAAATTGGTTGAGCCGGCCCTGGTTAGCAATGTTGATTATTCTTATTAATGTGCAATAACGGTATGTACTAAGAAAGATTATTAGATTTAGAGTATTTTTTGTCAATGTTTACATTGTATCTTGTATGATCAATTACATTACATAATACATTATTTTGATGTATGGTCACTTATAGCTTTCATTTTCAAATATTTGATTGTATATATACTCGATTCTAACAATTATTTCATTTATGGTTGCAGATAGTTGAAGCTGATGAAGCTCAACTTGACAGGAACTTTAATATTTAAAGCTATAAGTTTTCAACTATAAGTGTCGAAATTAATGAATATGTAATAGATTTTATATGTCACAAACATGTAATTTATATTTTTATGGTTTTTGGTGCAGTGTTATCTGACTATAACTTTGTAAGACCCTTTTGAGATTCATATCCATCCCTTTATCTAACAAGATAACCAAGCGATCGAGTTTTATGGTTTTCAAATTATCGGTGTTTTTCTAATCATTGAGATTCTTTGTTTTAGTTTCATCCACTCCGTTGTCTTTTGATCTTGTTATTTTATTCAATTCATTTGAATAAACAAAATTAATGTAATATATTTAGAATTCAACTATAATATGGAAATTATACCTTAATAAACAACACATTAATCATTAAACTAACAATATTCTTGTAACATTAATTTTTAATTTTAGAATATTACATATTCTAAAATCAGAATATGAACGTAATTTTAAAATATGACACATACTTTAAGAATATGAAAAATAATTTCAGAATATTTCACATTACTTAATTGTTAATCAAGTACTATCACAATACTTCACAAAAGATATTCAAACTAAATTGTTTTCAACAAAAAACAGACTATCTAAAATCATATATTACATATTATATAACAAAAACGTTAGAAGCAAGTTGTTTCCAATAAAACCAGAATGTCTAAAATAATAATATGACACATAATTTTATAATATTTCACATTACCTTACAGTATGTCAAATACTATCAAAATATTACACATTACTTTAGTGAAAGGATTAAAACGACTAGTTTCTAACAAAATAATATCTAATATAAAAAAGCAACAACTGACTCGTCAAATCATATGTGTATAACTAGAATAATAATATATCAGTGAGTATTAAAAAACCCAAAATTTAATTAGGTCCCTAAACACTTATCCCAAGGGACCTAGCCTAAATAATATCATCGGGATGGACACTACTGCTAAGGGGTTTCCTCAGCCATACATGTCCTAAAAGCGACCATGAGGGGGATTGGAGTACAACGAATGAACGCCCAAGTTCATTAACACCTACAGGTTGCGGGCCTGCTAGCGTTTCCACTGGACTGTCTAGAAAGTCCGTGGTCGTCATCCAAACTCCGCTAGATGAGTGGATCACAAATCACATCGAGGCCTCTCATCACTTTATTTCATTACACACCAACTATCTACCCATGTTTTACCCAACATGTTTGTAGATAAAAATACATATACAGTTTAAAACTTGTATAAAACATCAACTCAACAGTCACCTCAAATAAACAATTAATATATTTACACATAGCACGTATTTTAAGGTAAATACTTCATATCTATGTGTAAGATGAAGGTGACTATACACTCACATGTTTTGATGATAATCGGGCAGCAATTCGTTTCCTAAAACGTTCGTTTCTAATAAAACCGAGAGTTTTATTCAGAAACCGGGCTCTGCGAGGGTCGGCTTCGAAACCGAAAAGATAAATTTTTCGGGCTTCTCGGGCTCTTCGTGGCGTATTCCGGGGGTTATAATCGATACCGGGGCTTTGGGGGATGTTAATATGAAGAAAATATGAAGAAAGGGGCTAAAAGTGGCAAATTCCCAAATGTATCCGAGAAGGCTCGCAAGCCCTCTATTTATAGGGGTCCGAAGCTGCTGATCCAATGGCTGAGAAGCCTCCACGCGTCAGCAGATCTGAAGGCTCGCAGGTGGCTCGCACATGGTTGCGCATGCGAGGGCCTCGGTGTCGCCTCCTGATTGGACCGAGGTCTAGTCCGAGGTAGGGTGGGTTCGTGGCATCATGCGAAGGCTCAGACACGAGGGAAGAGGACACGTGTCAGATTCTCACTGGACCGCTTCGGATGACTCAACAGAATTTTGGACACCCGTCGGATGCGAGGCAAGGATACATGGCCGAAGTCCACGTATGCGAGATTCCTCGGTTTTGACAAATTTTCTCGATTTTCGTGCCAAAACTTCTAAAATCCATAACTTTCGCATATGAGCTCCGTTTTTGACGTTCTTTATATGCACGCGTAGGTAAAATTACGCTCTACAACTTTCATTTAGACTTCGTCGGCTAATTTTGAATTTAATTTTTATATTATTATTTTTAATAGACCGGGACAGGAAATCCGTTAAAAATTCATAACTTCTTCATCCGACGTCCGTTTTCGTCTGTCTTTTTTTACCATTGTGCTACTATTGACGAGACCTTCGATTCTTGTTTAGGTCGTGTTGGCTAAAAATCACTCGATCTAAAATTCGAGTTTTTAGCTGTCTACTGCTAAGCTGAAACTTCGAAAAATCATAACTTCCTCATACGAAGTTAGATTTGGGTGTTCTTTTTATACCTACTCTCGGTTTAACGAACACTACGAGTTTCGTTTAGATCACTAAGGCTAAAAAGTAGTTTATCAAAAACTCACTTTTTACGACATTCGGCACCGTGCCGGTTTTGTCGTGAAACTTCGACAGGTCATAACTTCTTCGTTATAACTCGGATTTCGGTATTCTTTATATATCCGTAATCCTTGTCATGTCCACTACAAGTTTCTTAATAGATATCGACTTTATCTAATATTTATTTTCGACGCTCATTTTTATTCTTAATTAATTAAACCCTAATAATTAAGCATAAAACACATAATTCACATAATATTCACATAATTCCTTTTCATTTCTTCAAAATGAGTTACAAAGGTTAACCTAGACTATCACATCAATATTAAGCCTAGGCTAGAAACACGGGCATTACAATATAGGAGTGGCTTATGAACTGTACCCGAGCCAATTGCGTACTCTTCATCCGTTGGCCCCTTGTTTTAGCTGATAATCGGATTCTGCTTAGCTTCTTAGTTGTTGATATCCCTTCTATTTCTTTCTTCTTAATGCTTCTCACCGTCATTATCTTACTTTCACAGCTTCTCTACCTAATCACCATCGATTTCATTGATCGTCTTCATAATCGCAATCTAGACAAAGTGTTCGGATTTGTATCTTTGCCATCTTAAATTTTCAGGTTGTTTTTGGTTTCGTTCTTCATCTACTTATTTCGTTAACTTCTTTTTCTATTCTGGTTCATCCGCAGAGGGATTGAAGTAGATCGGAGGGAAGCAGGAAGAAGCAAGGCCTATTGTTAGATAATGATGGATTGGATTGATGCGAGGCCTAATGTTAGATAACAACGGGCGATTGTTGACTCGGTATTTTCTGTGGTCATTTGGGTGCTTTGGACGTTCCGTAATGGTATTTTGTTTAGTAGTAATAAGCCTACAAAAGATAGGATTTTTTATTCCATTGTTGATATTTCGTTTCGTTGGTTCTCGTCTCGTGACTCTAAGGCTAGAATTAATTGGAGTTTGTGGCTTCAAAATCCTTCCCAGTCTTAATGATTTGTACTTCTAGCGTCTTGCTAGTTTTGTTTTAATATATTTGTTAGCTGCCGTTCAAAAAAAAAATTTTTCGCACCACTTTGCTTTTGCGAAACAAACTTGTTGTAGATCCCATTAAACCTGGTGCACCTAGACTGATTGGAGTCCACTTGCTACTACGCATATCGATATTGCGATACAGAGGTTTCTTCATAAATGTGTGAAATTTTCCGAGCATGACTTCCTAAAAACCAACTTTCCTCGTGTCATTTCCTTGGCATTCATTTTTGGAGCTCCCGCACCACGCGATCACCAAATTGTACTCTTCTTTCGGTGTCCACCATAGTGTAGGTTCTTCACTTTCCACGATAGTTTTCCATTTCTTTGTCCCTTTCCCTCTACCTCTATGATTACCTTTTGGTTGCGTTTCGAAAACCATATCTTGCGATGATTGTGTGGGTGGTGGTTGGGTGGTTGTTTGTGGCATGAAAGCAAAAGTATTGAAAATGTTTTATTGTAGGTTTGAGTTGTGTTGCATGTAGGGCGATGTAGGAAATTGCATTGAGGAGAGGTGGGGTTAAAATAAATTTTTTTGAAATGGTATTTATTGTGAGTTTTGAATGTTGAAGAGGTTCATATAGCTCTCATATTGCGCGAAACGCATAGGAACAAATGTGGTTGTGTTTGGTGGAGAGGTGTTTGAGTTTTGCTCCGTAGTTGGAAAATGAACTGATTTTTGAATATATTGAGATAAATAGAAGAATGATGTAGTAAAAATGATATTTAAATATATAGTATATATAGGCAAAAATTAATATGAAATTTTTTTTATTCAAAATTTGACCGTTCAACGGTTTCCAATTGAAAAAAAGATGTGTGTTATGACTCGTTTAGATGGCAACGAATGAGAAAATAATGGATGAGAGTGGTATTTTTGCCTGTTACCACGCTGTTGAGGGTGAGCCATGTCGGCTCTAACGCCTCTCAACGAGCCCATACCGTATAGTCTTGTAGACTCACCAACTTGTTCTTTTTCACAATAATCGATCAAAACAAAGTCAGTGGCCAAAATATGAAAGCGAATACAAATGTGGCTCAGTTAGAAATAATCCTAAAGTTCGGTAGCTAAACGCATCGAATCTCATTAACGGCGTTGAACCATATTCCCGGTCGCCACTCGCCACCACCTCCATGCTTCAATAGCCACCAATCTCACCTCCATTTCTATTCTTCACTTCTGCCATTAGTTTTCGCTCTTCGAGTCGCACTGAATCACAGGTAAGGTTTCCCACATAGCTTTTCTTCAATCTACGAAAATCTCTTTTTGTGCCAATTATTTCTTCTAGGGTTTTAGGGTTTATGCAGATCCCCAAATGTAATTTCCTTAATTTCTCCTTTCATGACTCAAACAGATACTTCATTGAATAAGATCTTTTCGATAGCTTTGGATCTGATTTGTCTTAGTAATCGATTATAATCACAAGTTTACACGCATATTCGTTCTGGATCCGTTTATCTGTTGTTCTTTGATCTTCTAAGATGTTAATTGTCAAATCTGATCCAAACTCATTCCAGAAAACTTGATAATCAGTTCGATTTCTAATTTTACTTTCAGTTCGAACACGAAACAAATGGCAAGTGAGCAAAAAGTCGATGAAAATCAACCGGAAAAGGGAAATGACAATCTGGTAGCAAACACCGGCGTTTCAAGCGGCTTTACAGGGATGGTATATGAACAGTATCGTAAAGCTAAAGAGAACGCTGAAGCTTATCCTTATGTATGGAGTTCCTATCTTATCGTCTATGGTGGATTTGGTCTCTGGGTAGCATATAGATACAGAAAGCTTCGTAATACTGAAGACAGAGTCAAAGCTCTTCAAGAAAAACTTCGTATCCTTCGTCAAGAAAGAGAGCCAACAACAAGCTCTGCTGCATCGACCAAAAAGATAACATCATCTAATGAAGAATCTACCAAATAGTTTTCAGGTAATATCTCTTGAATTCAATCCATTTTCTCATGAAAATGCTTTAGCATGTGGTGAGATTTTTGGTGACAACTGTGTAGAAACTAGGTTTTTGAATATCTGATCTGTTAGGTCTTTGTACTGAGATTTAACTGTGCATACTGCATAGAAGAAGATGAATTTCGATCACTTTTGGTGATAGATGAGTTAAATTTTGATATTGAGATATTCTTGTGAGGAGAGTTTTCAAGAATTGAATAATGTTTTTTGAATGTGAACTATAATTGGTGTTTCTTTGTTGTGATTGCATCTTGTTTACTGATGTTTACTTCTGTTTTTTGCTAATTGAAAAATGTAATGCAATTAATTTAGAGAATTTTTTTAATGAAAATTGAAAAGTTAAATAACATGTTTGGTTTAATATTTTTTCCAAAAAGTTTGTAAGGAAAGAGCGTTTTCTAATCTTAACTTGAAAAGTGATAATTGTTGTTTCTCATATTTTTTTCATTTCTAATTTTTATTTTCTAAAAATATAAATCCTACACACCTACACCCACCCCACAACTATCATCGAATTATTGAATTAGCAGGTGATATTTAAATATTGTGTTATTTGATATATGAAAATTGGAAAATAAAAAATGATAGAAAATACACATTCAAACATGTTTTTTTAAAATTTTCAACCGAAAATGAAAACACCACTCATTTTTTATGATTTTTTTTTCAGGAAAATTGAAAATAGTTTTTACAATCGGGCTCAAGAAACACGAATTCTATATATTTTTTGATAGTTGATTAACATTTAAGTCATATTTTTTAAAACGTTTCGGCTCTAAAAAGCAGAATTGTAAAAATTGATCCAAAACGAATTTTAAGTTGGTTAGTTTAAATTGGATTTGAACTCTGTTTTAAGTATTCAGATAAATGTTTTGGAACTGAAGTAATTGTCACATTAAATATATCATTGGAAGGGATGAATCTGTTAGAAGGAAAAAAAAGAACATGATCACATCTATTATATCAACTATCTATACTAACTATATATAATGGATAAAATCGTTAAAAACTATCTAAATGACTAAATCCACATTTTCTTCTTAATAGTTATCAATTAACCAAGAATCAACTCTTTATTGTTTACAAATCCGATTAAAAAAATGAAACAAAAATGGTTAAGGTATCAATTAGAAATGATCATGACCTAATCCATATGGTACAATTTAGAAGGTTTAAGATCTTGGGTAGCATTGAAGTACTTCAATGTCCGAATCCACTTCTCTTGTGTCTTCAAAAGGTGCACCGCAACCGTGTCGGGCCATAATTCATGCGTACATTGTGTGGGTGGCTCGGGATAATTATACATTGACCACTTTGCATTATGTCGATTCTTTCCCTTTTTACCTTTTTCCATCCAATCTCCAAAAACTTTATCTTCCGGCCCTTCTAGATGCATCTTTGGGATATCTGATACCCTGAGCCACTCCACTATGTCCCAGGATATCAGATATCCCATTCCAGACATATAATGTCCATACGGATTCATTTGATTACATGGGATCGTATATCCATAATACAAATCCTCCCTTGGTAACACTCTCAACGACTCCACAAGCTGCCCGAGGCGGAAATAAGCATCGTCATCACCCTTCATCACATAATGATACGGCGGGTAGGTCCCACCCGAACTGCCAGAGCTTCCCGAGCTGCCCGAACTACCCGGATCTTCTTTAAGCATATCGGGCAGACTCGAGAAGTAAGTATAACTCTTCCCATTGTTCATATTCTCTTTGCAATTCAAGATTATGATGTCGTTGTATTGCATTATTTCAAGGGCTATTAGAACCTTTTGGTCTTCTTTTGTGAGGTTGCAAAAGACGAATTTGACGTCGACTTTTGCTCCGACGACCACCCGTTGGGTGGCGTAGATGAGGCGGAGGAAGTGGCGGCGGTGGTAGTTGTCCGGTAGGGTTAGGATTCCGAGAAGGACACGGATTTCTTCTGATGAAGCGTTTGTGGGTAGAGTGTCCTCCAATTGTAGAGCACATCGGCTAAACCGTAATAAATGGTCAAATCTGAGTTCATTTATGGAAGCAATAGTGCAAAGAAACGCAATGAAGATGATAGATGAAACAATGAATCTCCGACCCTTTCCTGATTTTGCCATTTTGAAAAAACTCGATTCATGATAATAAAACTTGTTAAAAAGTTGATGAGATATAAAGACTCTTTTGAAGTGGGTTTCGTGATAATGAGTCAACTAGATGGACTTTTTGCGTCCTTGAAGGAAGGTGGAGATGTGAATTGACTATTTTGCCCTTGGGGTATGTAAAGGAGGAGAAAGTTTGCTGGGTTTGGGTAGGGTGTTTTTGGTAATTGGAAAAAGGTGAGGTAGTGAGTTTGAGCCTAACTTAAATGTTACTTAAGCAGTTTTGCTTGAATAGTGGTCAAAGGAAAATTTTACATCTGGTCAACGAGTTTGTGTGACTTTTAGTTTAGGTATTCCTACATGAACATGGGGTGGCTGCTGAAAATTTACTTCAAGGATGCTTCGGTATGAAAGTAAGCAGCAGGGCTATGAGGCATTTTGGTTAAAAAATGGAGTTTGACTTTTATAATATTTTTGTTTAATACAACAATATTAAACCAATTATAATGTATATCAGTTAAATAACAAAAATAAGAAAAAAAAAGTAACAATGTTAAACAATTTACAAAGTATACTTTTTATTAAACGTGTAGCAGACTAGGAGAGTGTATGATCCAAGACAATAATGATTATAGTTTTGTTACCATGTTCAATCCTATACACATAATAACATATGTGGAATCAATCTAACGTACTAAAAAGCAAAACTATTTTCAACTCTTAACAATACCTTTTACATAATTTATTTTACATCAAATTTATAATATTTTTGTAAAGGAAAATAATTTATACACAATAATTTTTTCCCGTACACAACAATTATGTTTTAGAAATTTGTATTGTACACCTCTACAAAACATGAATTGTTGTGTACGCCTCTATAAAACATGAATTGTTTTGTATGAAAAGAAAATGTTGTGAATGATGAACTCCCTTTTGTAAAAAATAATATAAATACCAAATCTTTTCCGTGATATATATATATATATATATATATATATATATATATATATATATATATATATATATATATATATATCCGGTTCCGGTGAGAACTCAAAAAATGGGGAGGACTGTGATGACAATTTTCAACCATCCATTTCGTCAAGGCATAAACGTCAAACCCAAATACTTTGCCGTGGTGCGTTCGCATTCGATCCACATCCGTGGTAACTAATACATACTCGACGACATAGTCACGCGTGACGAACGTTTATGAAACGTCATTTAAGTGAGTTTTATTATTTATTTTCGTTTATTATTTAAATTTTTATTTTTTGCTAAAAAATTCAAAAAATATTAATAATAAATAAATAGATATATGCTTGGTTTTGATGTTTTTAATTTTTTTTTTGTTTTTCTTTAATTTTTTTTGTTTTTTTTAAAAGTTATTTTTTTTTCGTTTTTTAGTATCTTTATTACATACTTGAAGGTACTAGTATTTTTTTCGTTTTTTTCGTTTGACTTTCTTTTGTGCTATCTATAATATTTTCCGTTCATACTTTTTTAAATCATATTTTTTTTCATAAAATTTTGAATCAACTTATTTTGAATCGTAGTATTTTGAATCAAATTATTTTTGAATCATATGATATTGAATCAATAACATACTCAATTAGATATAGTTTTTGTTCAAAAAAAATTATAGATCATTATATATTTTGAATCATTTAATTTTGAATCATAAAAGATATAATTAAGGATTATAAAATATTTGAGTCTAAATATTTTTAGATTATAACAAATTAAAAATCATAAAAAAGTTGAATCAAAAGTTTTTTTTGAATTATAAATATTTTGAATCATCACATTTTGGATCATATTATGTTCAATATATATTTTTTAAATTAATATTTCTTAAAATTAAAAATAAATACTTCAAAAACTTATTTTTGAAAAATTCTTTTTACAAAGTCACTAGTATATTGAGTAGAAGTGTCCTTTAAATTTTTATGATGTTTGGAGAATTTTTTTTCTGAGTATTTTATAAAAATAAAAAAATAAAAATATATATTTTTTTTCAAATTTTTGTGATTATGCTTATTTTGTAGATAACTAACATTTAAGAGCTTTGGTTTTTTCAGAGTTATTTTTCAAAGAAAAAAAAGTTATGACCAAAAAACGAATTGGTTATATATATATATATATATAGCTATATATATATATATATATATATATATATATATATATATATATGGACAACTATTGTATGGACGTGTGGACAGTGTTATTCTATGAGAATTACTAAGAGAATAAGTTGTTTAATAATGCGAATACGTTCAACCTCACACAAATATCTTCATTTTCATCCATTCTTACTAATTCTTATTCATTTTTGTTCTCTCGCATCGTTTTTCAGTCAATTTCATTATTACATAATACGACTCAATAAACATGCTGACAACATTCCAACATAATGAGAATAATTATAAAATGTTTATAATAACCTTATAAACGATTTAAATAGTAAGAATGTATGATATTATCAAACAACATATTTTCTTTGTCATTCTCACAGAATAGCACTTTCACACGTCCACACAATAGATGTCAGTCTACATTTGAACCGGGCTCTCTCTTTTTTTCTCTCTCTCTATCTCTCTCTCTCTCTCTCCTCTCTCTCTCTCTCTATATATATATATATATATATAATATATATATATATATATATATATATATATAGATATATATATATATATATATATATATATAATAGTGGGGTACCTGTATATATTGCAGTGTTGGTGAATCGTTTCCCTTCAGAGGTTAGTTTTCTTTCCAAGTGTGACGAATAGTGTTTTTTTTCGTTGAATAATTTCTTTCGTGAACATGTCATTTTATACTTGTATTCAACACGTAATATAGCGTTTGTTTATTTGATTCTTAAAACGTGGCTTAGGAAAAAGTTAAAATGAACTAAGTTATGCATATTTATCAGATACCACTACTATATTTTTAGCTTTTTACTGCTTGGATACACGCAAAAGGATCTGATTATTAATAACCGGGTTCGCACGTTTGTCCCATAGTAACCATGTATCATAAAACGTGATCTTAGGTAGTTCAATGATGCACCACATTGTCATTCATTCCAATGAAGCGTGAACTATATGGGTCAACGACTATGTGTTAACTAAGACATTTTGCAAGTGTTTGAATAATAAAATGGTTCGAAACCGTCATGCTCTTTTTCGTTTTGTTTTGTTTTGTTTTGATTTGTTTTTTTGGTGACCTTTCAATTTTGCATTTAATCATCATGTTAAAATGCTTTTTGACAAATAACATTGTTATTCGGTTTCATTACTTTTATACTAAAAACATGTTACCACGAAGTGACAAAATATCTAATGTTAAATATGTCCTTTCCGAAGGTTGTTTATTATTGTCATTCAACTTTAGTGTTTCATATCACTCACAATCTTTGCCGATGTCAATTGCCACATCAACTACAATGTTGAAAACAATAATTAAGTTAGCAATTGATGACTATAGAATATAAATCTAAAAGTATAATTGTTAAATATTTATCATCCTAGAGAATGAAGGAGCTTACAATTAAAACGTTAATTTGTTTTTTTATTTTTTCGGAACGTACAAATATTATATACAAAGGAACATTGACTAGCAAGGAGCTAGACAAAGGCAAAAACAAACGAATACAAGAGGGGACGACATGAACAACAACACTACAGCCTCACAAATGGACTTGCGCGTCACTCCTGCCAACTTACATTACCATTTTTACCTCTGTGTTTGAACCAAACGTGCACCGTTTGAACCAAACGCGCACCATAGACTGAATCAAGTCAACTACCTTTGGATGAGAGATTCTATTTTTGTTAAAGACTCTCGTTACGAGCTCTCCAAATGCCTCATATTGTGCCATATCATATACCCCACGTTTGATTGGGCCTGTAGCGGTGGGGATACGATCCTTTAGAGCCCTCCATATAAAACATTCGACCTTTAGCGAGACTTCTTTAATCCAGTTAATTAACTCTATCTGTAAAGTTGAGCATTTTTATTAATATGTCGCATCAAAACCTTCGCTGTGTAGCGACCATCAACTTCCAGATCGCACGTTCATGAAATTACGGTATATTATTATTATTATTATTATTATTATTATTAGACAAAATTACATAAATGGTCCCTGTGATTTGATGAAATTGACACATATATGCCAACTTCAAGAAAATGGACAAACTCGATCATTGTGTTTTGTCGATATTGTAGATATGATCCTTTTCACACACTGCGTCAAAAACTCCGGTTAAATTTCTCTAAAATGTCATTTTTACCCTTTATTTTCTTTTTCATATTTTTTGTATTTTTTTTTATTAATTCCCTTAACTGCAGGGACCATTTATGTAACTTACCTAGGCATGTAAAAAAGCCCGAACTTAACGGGGAAACCTGAAAACCGATCATTACGGGTCGTTATTGGGTTCAGGGCAGGGAGTGGGTTATCCTCGCCCCGACGCGCTCCGCCCCGCCCCGATTATATATATATATATATATATATATATATATATATATATATATATATATATAGTAGTTTTGCCGGGGCCTCGGTTTCTTTCTGTGTGTATACAATAATATATATATATATATATATATATATATATATATATATATATATAATATGTTCGAATCCTTTTGATGTTAATTTCCACGTATTCAAAGATAAAATACTTACCCTAGACAATCTTTTTAGTTATTAACAATTTGGTGTGACCTGAATGATCATTTTTTATGTTTCGACATATTACACTAAAATTAAATCAAATAATTTTTAAGATAACGTCCAGTTTATTTTATTAAAGAGATGCATCATATTTTTAATTTAAAAGGGAGACTGGAACATATATTTTTTATAAGACATCGGGGTACCCTAAAACGGAATAAAGATTTCGTTATGAATTGTTGTAAACCCGATAAGATACCCGAAACTCGACGAAAAACCTGAAACCTGATGGGGCGCCCCGATAAGATACTTGAAATATATCGGGGCGGGTTTGGGAAACCGTGCCTCACCCCTAACCCGCCCCGTTGCCATTCCTAAACTTACCCTTAAGAATTTGAGAAACCTTTCCTCCATCCATGGTACGCCGAAAAATCACTCAACACTAGATGCGTCTTCTCTTGTCTCGCTCTCCTCCTTCATGTTTTCTTTATCCGGCGAGACCAAATCATTCGTCGCAGCCAATTTCTCCACCGACAACAATAGTCGGTATCCCGCAAATTTCTTCATATCCCTTCTGATATTTAGTCCAAAAACCTTTAAATTTCAAGGTTTGAGGAGAAAATATGCCCAAATCCATCTCCATATTTCCTTGTTTTTGGTAATTAGTTTTTAGCCCTTTTTTCTGAGTTTTCCATCATCCAAATTAGTAAAAATATGAGTATGTTTAAAGAATTTTGTAGATCCAAAATAGATTTCCAGAAGCATGAAATTCAAGTCAGGTGGTGGTCAACATAGACTTTCTTATTCAATTTTCGTATATCGTTATAGATTCTTCCATATTGTGCATATATAAGGTTGTGGTATGTAAAATAACCTCAACTTTACAAAAGGAAGATTGAAAGTCGATTTGTTGTTTGAATATTTTGGGGCTCTTCCTTGTTACCCCAATCATCTAGAAAATTAATTCGTGATTGGAGTTTAATCTGGGGGTGTTTCGTAGAAAAACTTATTGCTTATTAACTTATAACTTATTAGCTTATTAGCTTATAAGCTAATAAGTAAGTGTGGGGTAACTTATGAAAAAATGACTTATTAGAGGTTCCCCACCAGAATAACTATTTTTCATCTAAACACGTTTTTAACATATAACGGTGTAGAACCTCTAACAAGCTAATTAGTTGTTTTAACAAGCTTAGCTAAACACTCCCTCCTACCATAAAAGAAGAGAAGAAGGAGCTTGTCCGCCATCCTCCACCTTCTTAAAGGTATCCAATCTGGAATGACATCTAAATCCAAAAAGGAGGAGATCGTCGGGTTCTTCACCCTATCTATCTTTGTCCATGGCGGTAGTGGTGAAGGCAACCATGTGACTCAAACATGTCGCAAAATCAACCATTTTGACCTATTGGGGATGTAAAACCCGATCTGAACGTATCAATCGAAATCACTAGAATTGGTGCGGAATCCCAATCTAATGATTAACCAAAAAACAGTTATTATGAAATAAGAACACATAGATGAATATTCAATGCACACTATATTGATAATAGTCTAGTACATAAGATTCACAATTACTCTCTCGGTTCTCTCTTTCTCTCTCAGTTCTCAAAAAACATGATGGGTTTTGAGCACTACATCAATCCTATGGTGTATATGCAAACCCTAAAGATTTGGATCTAGTTTGTCTAATATACATGCAATAATCATCCAAAGCTCATAAACCCTAAATCTAGAATATGATAAACGATATTAACATAAGAATAGGGTTTAGATCTTACCTTGATTGTTATATATAGCAATAACAATCTCAAAACCTTCTTGATCTTGACTTCTGAAAGCTTAGTGCCTCAAATGTTGCACCTCTAATGGAGTCACAAACACCATGAGCAACAAGATGACTTAGGAGAAGGAGGAGGAGGCACAAAACGTCTAAGAACCCTTAGGGATTACTTCTACACGTTTTTGGGGCCTTAGGGGTTCCTTATATAGTTACGCTATTAGGGTTTTCAACCAGGAAACCCTAATCTGACTACTTAGGCCCTAAACAGCCCATTGACTCCCTCCTTAGAAGCCTTGGACGAATTCTAATGGGTTTCCCCATAGATTTCGTCCACTCCAACTTCTATGGAGTCCATTAGCCCAATTTATGCAATTATCTTATAATTACAGTATCAGTCCCCTTTATTTAATTAATCTCTTTTAGCCACAAAATTAATTCTTATTAATTATTGACTAATATTAATTAAACAATATGATTTCTCTCTTTTAATATATTATTCATATAATATATTAATAAATCATAATTAATCCTCTTTCTCCTTAGTTCATCCTATCAGTTGCTATGGTGAAGGCAACCCAAAAGGACAATGCTCGTAATCGGGCCAAGTACATACCAAAATAGTTATGGGCTTAGACACCTAATCCAACAGTCTCCCACTTGGATAAGTTTAATAACTATTATGCATATGACTTCAGAACCTGATCAGCAATCGTAGCTTTCAAAAGCCGCTGTCGAACTCTGATCTTATCATAAACGTGTCCTTCAGATAAGGGATCATATATTCCTCAATTCTAGATATCGTATGAACTGAGACATGAATTTTAATCATACTCTCTGTTCATGCGTTGTTTCCCGATTTCTGATTTACGACGACTGACAATAGACTACAATTGAACACATCAGCTTAGTCCAGGCTTGGCCAAGCACTTAGGGTGTCATCACTAAATCATCGAGGGGCCCACATATATCGCTTTTATCCCACATTGGGTAAAAGGAATGGATAAAATTCGACTCAATGCTCGCTTGTACCTACTCATCAAATCATACACAACAATATGTTTTATAACACCAAGTTACTGGTGCGTTCACATATTATCAATGTGCAACCGACTTGTAAATTACAACTCACATGTCTCGGTTTCAAGAATACCAAGATATTATCGTCTCACCAATCACTCGTGATAAAATCCATGAAGCGATCCAAGTGAGCGTGGGTTTAATCCAATGCTCAAATCTTAATTCATAAGCACTCATGAATGTTGTAGCAAACTTTTGCTATGTCTAATACAGTTTAGACAATCTACAAGCCAATTCATGGCAGTCTTCTTTCATACCTACTTCCAAAGTATGAGTGACTGTGGGTGGTTTGAATAATCTTATTATTCGGGAAGTCAAAACATGCAAAGTGAAACACAATAATAATTGAATCCAATATGGCCCCAAACTTTTGAGTATAAAAAAACCCCTTTTATTTAGTCACCATATTTATTACACATTATTCATTGTATAATGTTTCGAATAATCAACTTATTACTTGAATTATAACAACAGTTGTCCCATGCACCAAGCATGCACACTCTGTTTACCTGTGGTCCATACTTTGTGAAATAGATCAATTGAAAACATTTCCAACGATGCTCATTTCACA